TCAAGTAGTTCTTGGACAGGCTGGCTGTGAGGCTGCGGTCATTCCAAGCCAGCCTCCCACCCCACTGCGCGTCAGTATTTCTGCTAGGGGCTAATCTGTCCACAGAAAATACTGGGTCCCGCTGGACATTCTCTCATTGTCACCCTAGTCACAAGGGGTTCCTGTGTTTTCCCTGGCCTGGACGTGACAGCCCAACTCACTGGCCGTGTCTCAAACAGAGCCTCGTAACTCCAGCTCTCCCCCGGTGGAGGGCACCCCGGCCTGAAGTTTGAGCGCCTCTCTGCTCCCGCTGCCTGGGGTAACTTTTCTTTGGGTGTGTCCTTCTTTGCAGGTAACGCCCTGGTCTCACACACAGCCCCTGAATCTGCAAGACAAGAAGAAGGCAAGCGTCTCACGCACTGTGTTTCTATGGTGACGCTGCCTAAAGTGGAACCAGGGAAGGGAGAACCTTCAGGTAAGACGTGGCATTTCGGAAGGCCGTTTGCATGGCTGGCGACACCCCCAATTTACACAGCGGCCGTGCGCGGGACACAGCACATGCCTGCTCAGCTGGGCAGTGAATAAGCAGCATGCAGCATGTTTTCCCAAAAGATTGTGTTATGGTTTGTGTCTTGGTTTTCCCCACACAAAGCCTCATGCAGTCTTGGGGTGGCTTCTGGAGTTTGTGACTGATTACTGTGGGTGTGGACACTGTCCCTGCCTGGGGCAGGTAATTTGCACTACGATGTAAGGAGGGGATAGAGGCTACCTGCTTGAGCTGCTGCTACCCCCCTTTTTTGTGCTCTTGCTCTTTGCCGCCGCCATGAAAGGTTGCCATGTGCCACTCAGAATTTAAAAAAAAAAAAACATGGGGATGCAGCGGGTGTGCAGGCGTGAAGCTAAATCACCAGTACCACCAAAGAGGGAAAGTACTACAAGCCCTCCTTGAGCTTTACTAAGTAAAACTCTCAAGTCTCTCTCTCTTTTTTTTTTTTTTTTTTTTTTGGTGGAACCGGGGATTGAACTCAGGCCCTTGTGCTTGCCAGGCAAGCGCTTATTCCACTGAAACATCTCCCCGGCTCCTCTCTGCTCACTCAATGTCCTCCTCATGACAAGCACACTCATTCTGGTCTTAGAAACGCCAAGTCTTCACGACAGTACCCACCAGAGCCCCACATGGCACTGGACCGCGTGGGCTGTCATCCTCCATAACAGGGCCACCTACCCAGTTCTGTCAGTGCCAGCTTCCCCTGTCAGGCCTGCCTTGAACAAAGAGGTCTGAGCGGCTCAGCTCGCCTGGAGTGGCTCCCGTTCCCAACGGACCAAGCCTCCATAAGCAGCGGGAGTCCCGAGTCTTTGCCCTACTTGGTTGCGGCTCCCGGAGCAATGCGGCCTGACGCCCTGCACTGCGCCTGCACAGCACACACGTCGCCAAGACGGCCTTGGGAATGGCCCACGTGTCAGGACCGCGGTCCTTGCCTTCCAGGGCCATGCTCTGCTGCTCGCTGCCCAGCTGCAGTAACAGTCCTCGTGGCCCCAAATCTACCGCAGCCCCACCTAAATCCACCTCCTAATTTCTCTCTTACTTCTAACCCTTCTGTTGTTTTGTTGGCTTAGCGCTGTGAGGCCTTTCCCGCCTCCTCCCAAGTCCCTACCTTCTCTTTCCTTCGCAGGTCAGCAGCTCCTAATGCTCTCAGGGCTGTGTGGCTCCCCCGGGAGGTGACTGCGCTTAGGTGCT